ACTCTATTCTTAAAAATTGTGTTTTGAATACCGAAAGTTGGTTAAATTTTGCTCAACTATTATTCTCTTTGCTCCTATTTTGCATAATCTGAAAGTTAATATCATAAATTTAAGTAAAATTTACAACACTTATAAATGTAAAATGACTAGATATTATTGAAAAGCATTTCAAAGCGGCACGAAAAGAGAAGGCAAGTTACCCTCAAATTTTACCGCATTTGATGTAAACATTTCGTAAAATTTTATTACTAGTGCCCAGACAAAAATTTTCACTCTCTTGTTACATTAAGACTTTGTGCATTTTGAAACATCTTATAAAAGCCTGTACAAAAGTTTTTATAAAAGTTTCTTTTACAAACTCTATATAAATCTGAATTAGTAGAAAACTACTGATTAGCAGTCAAAACCTGGCTTAATTCTCGCTACATCAATTAGTAAAAATTAACTAATTGACAGTAAGAAATAACTGAAACATTAGTTAAATTCCACTAATTATCAATAGAAAACGTTACTGAAACAATAGTGAAACGAAATCTACTAATATTTCAGTTATTTTCAAACATAACCTCAAATTATTTAACTGTCAATTAGTTATTTTAACTGATATTTCAGTAAAATTTAACTATTTTCAATTAGTTGCTCAATTCTCGCTATTGAATTAGTAGTTTTCTACTAATTCAAATTTAGAGAGAACGTACTCGAAAATTCTAATTCATTCTAACCTTTTTGGAGAAAAAAGTTTTCTGAATCAAATAATATAATAATAATTATAAATTTAGAAATTTGAATAAATGCCTCGAGAAATAAATTTAAAAGATTTTAATTTGAAAAACATTGAAACTTGAGAAAAAATATAGAAAATAAAGATGGTAAATAACATTTCTTTTGAGAACTTGGAGAATAGTCGTAACTTTCGAAAACAAAAAAATGATGCTTTCTGCTTTTCTCACGTTGAATTCGACCTGAAAATTGACTTCACGAAGAGACGATAGGAGTTTCTTGCGAAAAAAAACTTGTCGATTCTTATAGAAAAGAGAGCACAAGAAACTTTTACTATTTGCTTGTATATATTGTTGCAGATACAGGGAGTGAAAGCTCTTGTTACCTCTAAAATGCCAAGGATCCCTTGACTCTCTACAAAAATTGACCCATAAATCCAGGATTATGATTTACTGCTCTCCGGAAGAAAGATCCGGCTACCTTCGTGAATGCACTTTCAGCCACAGATTTCCAAAACATCTTGCATTGCCCAATATCAGACTTTTGAAAATATCATAAATATTTGACAGTTATAAAAATAAACCCCAAGTTTACAAAGTTGCATTGAATCTCCCATAATAGCTTTATGACAAGAGTTGTGCATAATTAATGCATGGTCAAAACATTTTAAAATATGGCAATTCACTTATTTTAATTAAATGGCTTGGTAAAATTTTTATTCACAAAATATGCTGAATTATTTGATAACCTCAAGGTTATCAATAATGGTTATTTTTCTCTCTGTACCGTTGAAAGAAGCAAATTCTTGTATGAAATAAAAGCAACTTGATAATTTTTGAATTAAATGGTTAATAACCTTAAGTGGCGAGAACTTTTAGAACAATTAGTAGTAAGGTTTTCCTAATGAAATAAATTATAACAAAATTATTTGAGTCATCGTATTCTGGAATTACACACAATTATGGGTGTCGTTGTTTCGTTAGGGGACAATGCATACAACTTTTTTCTCAAATTAGGCATTTTCCGAGAGAGGGTGACAAGATCCCACGACCACCCGAGCCCGCATCTGAACATCCTCTCAAATCTTCGAGTCTTTCATATTTAGCAACAATTTTCCTATGATACGATCGAATATTATAGTGATACAATAATAACAATGACAGGAATACAATGCTACGCCACAGGTCATTGGCACTTAAGATTGATTTCCTGCTCCCACGGGTCTATTGTCCCGTATTCGACACATTTGCTTCTGGACTATTTTATTAAAGCAGAATTGCAAGTATAATGTAAATGGACCCCTACGTACAGTCGATATGTATAAACACCTCTGTTTCTTATTTCTCTCAATGCTGACAAAATCCGAAGATACACTGAGAAAAATGTTTACTCAGAGAAACCAAAATTTTGTTGGTATTTAAGCAACCAAAGTATTTGTTTGAGTCAACTAAAAAATTTGGTTCAGTGTTTTTTGTTGGCTTAACAAAAATGTTTGGTTGATCAAACCATCCGCTTTTTTGTAAAATTAAAAATTTTATTCTACCTTATTTTTTTTATTATTTATTTATAATCAATTTAACGTTTAATTTATATCTGCGAGTCAGGAGCTCTGACCACTGGACTACCCATCTTTGTAAGAGATTTAAACTAATTGTTCTCTTATAAGGTACGTTTGGTTAGGATCATTTGGTTTTTTAGACCAAACTATTTTGTTGTCGTAACCAAATTTTGGTTGGAATTTAAAAATGTTGAACGAAATAATTTTGTTGGCCTAACCAAATGTTTAGTTGAGATAACTCTACGACTTTTGTTTCAGCCAATCAAAATTTTGTTACAAGAACCAAAATTGGCTAACCAAACAATTTTATTGCAAACACAGTCTTTTTTCTCAGTGTATGGGAATTTTGGTCCAATAATATGTATGCACTATAAAATTAATGCTCGAATGCTTTCTCAAGGAAGCATAAGAAAAATAACAATTTTATGCGATCACTAACAAATGTTTCCTCTTGGACGAAGTACCCGAAAAACATATATAAACAAAACGAAAACATTCGAGATCAAGTTCACCAAAATTTCCGACCGAAAGCCACACCTTCTTCCTTCAGTTTACATTTATTTTTTTTCTTGTTTTGTCCATATACGCATTCAACAACATCCTGTTGACCGTTCTCGAGATTTTTTTCTCACTCGAGGAGTGAATTATGTATATATAAACCGTGGGCCTTGAGGACATGTGGACGTTTGGACAGGAAGTTCAATCAAGCAAGGAAAAGAGGAGGCAAAAATAAGAAACGCATTTTTATTAGGTTCAGGAGATGAGAGAATAGCCTATATTCTTCTCTTTTCGTTTCTTTTTGACCCTCGTGACTAATCGTGGCCTGCTACTGGAATTTTCTGCCATTGACGACCGAGTAACCCGGTTTAAGTCACTTACCACGTCGCCCAAGTTCTGCTTTCCACAGCCATTATCTCCACATCTAAGCGTCACGAACCGAAATATCGGCTACCGTTTTCGATTTGCGATTCGCAGCCCAAGTTTTACAACCCTCAGTACCCGTCGTTGATTTACGGCTTGTAGGTGGCTACCTACGTTTTAAGTTTGCTTCGCCCCTCTCTCTTGCTCTCTTTTTCCTCTCTTTCACTCACATTGACTGCCATTTATGAAAAAGGAGAAATTCTGAAGATTGTCTTTTTCTGTTCCTTCCGTTTCTTCTCGCCCCTTTTCGTTCCTCTTCCTCTTCTTCTGCTTCAGCTTCATCTAGTCACTTGGATTCTCCACCACCCATCGAGGCTTGCCACAACAATTTCTATGTTCACGATGTAGGTTACCGAGGTGAACTTTTCAAGCTTTACCTACTGCTTTACTGCCCTACAATAAATCAATTGACAACACGGCGAGAGACTTTGGGACGCTTCTTGAGATGTGTCTTTTCGAAAGTCGTCTTGGGGTTCCACAAATGGACCCAGATTCATTTTCATATTTTCCAGTTCACGTAACCTTATCTTGAACAAAGGGGATGAATAGTGGAGGGTGAAAAAAAGTTTTTTTTCCTTTTACTTTGTGTAACACACATGAACGAAATGTGCCAAATCCTCATCAAGTGCTCTCAAGTGCCTTAATTTTCAGGCATGTGTGCGAAAGAAATGTCCAATATCCTTTTATTGAAATTTTGTGTATCCGTGAAAACCACGTTTCGGAATAATTTCAACAAGAATTTCATAATTTATTCCAATTTTTTGTCGACTTTATTTTCATTTTCTTCTTATTTTAGAGTGTCATTTATAAGGACAGATTTGATTAATAATGATAAATATGAAAATTGTCATGTGTCGAGCCTTATTAAAAGAAATGAAAAGTTTATCTTGTCAAAAAATTACCACGAGAAATAAGAAAAGATGAAACTCGCACTATTAAGTAATTTTGACAAATAATAATCCGACAAACGTAATAACACTATTTGAGGTATAAGTTTAAAGCCATCCGGATTAAATTTCAAAACTCATGTCTTCACATTATTTGTCTAACGCACCTTTTGTGACAGTTTGATGAAAGCCTTACGACACTTTTCGTTTACATTGACGTGGAGACATCAAAGAATTTCATAAAGGTCACAGTTTGCTGCGCTTGTAAATCGAAGGATTACTTATACTTTTATTCTCCGTGATTTTGAAAGATTCCTCATTCACCTGTGGGTGAAAAGTCATAATAGCATGGCTTCTTTTCCTTATAAAAAAGATTCAACCCTTCGTTTGAGTAAAAAATACACCACGAGAGTGGGAAAAAGTAGCCTTGGCATTTCTAATTTATCAATTCACTATTGTAAGCTGGAAATTCTATAAACGCGCGATATTGTCGAGGGGAATGGTGTTATTCAAGTCCAAGCATTGACCGATCTTTTAGGTCAAATCGTATTAGGCGGTATAACACCTGACAAAACGGTGATTTAGTTTATTTCTGTATTTGGCTTTTTTCGAATTGAGTTGGATCCACTTTACTAAACGCATTGCTTGAGTATTAATTCTCAAAATTTATATTTCTAAAATTAATCGAATTTTTTTCTTGAATATTTGGAGAAAAGATTAAGTACATGCTTTCAAAATTCTTAATAAGAATACTTTTTGAGATCAAGAAACATATTTCAAATTTCATTTTTTTTCATTTTCCTTTCATTTATAATTTTAATATTTTTTATTCAAAATGAAAATAATATGTATATCAAAAGGGGATAATTTAAATTGTATAAAAAAAAATTTGAAAAAGTAATAAAAGATCATCCTTAAGGTGTTTCTTGATTGATATATTTATTGAAACTTTAGTCAAAATATCCCCGATTGTTCATGGTTAGCAAAAGTTTACGAATTGCTTTACGCGTATTTGACTGTTTAAAAATATCCAGTTTCGTTTCTCCTTTAGCCAGAACTAGGTTGAATTCCTCAACATCTGATTTATCGCACATCATTCTTGGAAAATAGATGAATCCTGAAAATATAGAAAATATTCTTCTTTTAAAAATCGATTTCTTCAATTCGTCTAACGTCGGGACTCTGGTCTTGCAGCCGATTTTTGTCAATTCATTTTCAACAACTGTTAAATACTTGTTTAGTAAGAAATCATCTTTGTCACATTTTATTTCTAATTCCGGACAAATGCTCAGGAAGTACTGAAGATCAATTGCTGGAGATGTATAGACAGAACATTGATAATCTATCTGTGAATGTAAAAACAATATTTGATTATATTTTTAGGAAATGTTCAATTTCATATCTTGAAAATTTTTTAAAAACACAAAAAAAACCTAAACTCTAAGTGAGTTGAATTCACACTCAATTTGAAGTGCAATAAACACTTACAAGTAAAACTTGACAAGAATCTTCCAATTCGTCATTTTTGAACATGATATTGTTCGTCCAAAAATCTCCGTGATTTAAAACGCAGAACTCTTCATCGTCATATTCGTACATGCACAAAAGTCTTTCTTTTAAAGTGCCGATTATGTTTCTCAATTTATTTATCGCTTCATTACATTCATTGTCGTTCCAATCTGCTACTCCTTCACACAAATTTAATAAGGACACTTCCAGAAAGCGAAAATAATTTTCAGAATATTTTCCACTTATCATCCCCTCAACGAAACACTTAGTAATGTTTGGTTTCTAAAATAAATACATTATTTCATTTTTTTCTTTTTATAATATTCACCTTATTTGTATATGTATATTATCATACATTTAAAACATAAAAATTACTCTTATAAGACAAAATGATATATACCTTTTCAGTAAGGGCGACAGTTCCAGCATGAAATTTTGCAATTTTCTCTATAGCGACAAGACATTGGGGCAAAGATAAACCTTTCTGTCTGTTTAACATTTTGAATCCTCGAGACACCAAATCCTCCATAATGATAAAATTTGAATTTTCATTGCCATAAAGTAATTTGGGTCCAAAAATACATCCAATTAATTTTTCTACTCTTGGCAATACTTGTTGAAAAACTTTCAATTCCGTGATGAACATTTGATGAACCGCCTCTTTTTTTACGTTCGTTATTTCGTATTTTGCAATCAAAGTCATTTTTTCTTCTATTTCTATTGAATCTTTTGCATGAGAATTAATGTAATATCTTAGAAATATTCTGTAGATTTCACTGAAAAAATTGTCTCCTTTATCAGAAGCTAATCTTTTTGACATTTCAATTAAAGTAATTTCTTTATTTTTTAAATAATCCTGCACAACTTTCTCAAAAAATGTTTGATCCAATTGATTGATTTCCATTTTCAAATATAGAAATTTTGTTTGCTAATATCCTGAAAATTGATAGACGAAAAAAAACAAAAAAGTCATGCGTTAAAAATTATTTATAAAAGTACAATTTTTCTCGAAAACCTATTAAATTTTTAATTTTTACTAACCTCTAAAAGTCACTCGTTTTATTCACTTCAAAGATGAATGTAAACTGAATTTTCAATCTCACTTTTATCACAATGTAATTTTATATTTTTCCTCATTGTCATCTCCGGTTTTAAAATAAAATTTTTACAGTTTTCTTTTTTATTCCATATAGTAATTTGACTCATCTATATGCAAAGTCGGTTATACTTACAGTTTTTCATATGAAAATTAATTTGAATTAAAATAAATTGATCAACTATAAATAAAAACTTTTAAATTTTGCTTTTCATGAAAAAATGGAACTTAAAATTTGATAAAATTGTATTTAGACAAGAAATATTTATTCACTTTCCTCATAATTGTTTATTTTACTTTTTATGTCAGTGAGATAATTGAGAGGTAAATCTGAAATAAAATTGATAAGAAAATGAAAATGACATGTTTTTTTAGTTTAAATTTGTTTATTTTGTAAAACACTTACAACAAAACTTATTTCTACATTAATAATTCGCAATTGTTAGTTCTAGTGTCTTTCAATAATAAAATTATATTTATCAGCAAGCAGATGACATTTAATCTTTACAATTGTATATAGATGAGAAAAAAAATTAATCTAAATATCCCCTTTTGTTCATAATTTTAATAATTTTTCCTACGGCCTTGATTGCATCAGGATTTTTAAAAACATCCATTTTTGTATTTCCAGTTACCAGAGTATCATCAAACGTTTCAGTGTCAATCTCATCAGCAATCATTCTTGGATAGAAAATTAGAGATGAAAAGACGGCGTAAATTTTTCTTTTTTCAATTGCTTTTTTTAATTGATCCATAGTAGGCGCTTCTGTTTTGTAACAAATTTTTTGCATTGTCATTTTTAGAGTTTGCAAATACACTTGAAGGAAATAGTCGTCCATTTCGCATTTTATATCAATTTCAGGACATATTCCAAGAAAATAAAGAAGATCAATTGCTGGCGACGTGAAAATACTCATTTGATAGTCAACCTAAAAATATGTTTAATTTAATTTATTTATTATAAATGATAATAATAATAATTACCATAAGCATATTGATTGGAGTTCCTTGTTCATTGCTTTTAAATAATAAGTTAGTATGCCAACAGTCTCCGTGATTTAAGACACAAAATTCTTCGTTGTCATAATCGTAGACTTTGGAAATTCGATTCTCAAAATTGTCGGACATTTTTTTCAATTTGTGAGCCGCAGTCACAGCTTCCTGATCGATCCATTTTTCAATTATAGAGTTCGACAATAGGAGAAGTGTCGACACTACAATTTTGTACATATTTTCATGTGTTTCTCTACTCATTATTCCACTTTTAAATTGTTTTATTAATTCTGGTTTCTGAATAAAGTCAATTTGAAATGTCTTGAAATTTTTTTTGTAAAATTTTGTAAAAAATATATTTCATTATTTAATTTTAAAAAATTTATAATTTTCTTCATTACTTCACTCCTTTTTTTTTAATTTAGCTAATAAAAAAATAAAGTGGGAATCTTACGTCTTCAAAAAGCGAGACAGAGGCAGCGTGAAATTTTGCCAGACGTTCAATGGCCATTAAACTATGCTGCATTGACAATCCTTTTTGTCTATTTTGAAGTCGATATCCTTTTTCCTCGAGATCCTCCATTATGATAAGACTTGAATTTTCATTACTGTAAAAAATTTTTGGACCTAAAGAAAAACCCAATCGATTTTCCAATTGTGGTAGTACATCCCAGAGGAATGTTATCTCAGTTGCAAATAATCCTTGTTTCCGTATTAAATCTAATTTTGCACCCTCGGTATTCGGTTCCTTTTTCACTATTAAACTTAACAGACTTCCTTGGTTTTTGTCAATCTCTTCTCCATCTTCTATGTACCTTCACTCATTTAAAAATTCAAAATAATGTTAATACTTAATTTAACTTGATATTCATTTTTCAATGATTATACACTAAGAGACACGTTTTCTTTTATTTTACATTTCGTGATCTAAAAACCTGTTGAAAATATAATTCAATCAAGTTTTTATTATTTCTGTTATCGATTGTTGTTGTCCTAATTATTATTAATTGATTGATATAGTGGGGTCGATGTTGATGATTCTTGTAAATTGTTGAAATTTCTTAATTATAATCGCTTAATACTTTTATTATTTGTAAAATTTTAAATAATTTAATAAATATCGCATTACAGTTCTCTTAAACTTATTCATATAAATTGGAATGACTGACCTTATAAGAATCCTAAATATATCACTAAGCCCATGTTCTGCTTTAGAACTGGTTGGTTGTTGTTCAATTTCTTTTATTATGAAATTTTCATGACCCAATTCGTTTTGTAAAGCTTTTTTAAAAAGTATCTGGTCTGAATTATTACGCAACATCTTTTGCGTCCAGTCATATAATAATTGAGTGATTTAAAATTATCCCAAAAGCTGTATTTTTTGTTTTTTCTCTCCTTCTTCTTGTGCTTCTTATCAAAGTAAGTCGACATTTAACACTAACGTTAGTCAATTTACAATGTGCACTCACTTTCGTATGAGTTTCATAATTTTGCGCTCACTATCGAATCCACCACAATATTGATATGTTAAATAACTTGTTTACTCTTTCGGTAATCATCTTTTTTTTAGTTATGTCAATGATTATGTGCATACTTGTCTTTCGTGTTTTGTTTATTTATCTTAAAATTTTTATTTTTAGGTATAGTTTACGAAATATTTTTTTCCTAATTTAAAATTTTTAAACTTTTTACTACGTCCAAAGAAATATTTTATGGTCCATTTCATTATAACCGAAAAAATTTGTCAAAAAAGTGAGAAAAATTTTGACATTTTTGTTATTTTTATATATTGGGTTTTTGGTCGTTCTTTTGGTGGTCAAGGTCTTTTAAATTTTATTTCAGGGGTCATATAACTTTATATAGCAAAATGTTTTCGGTTTTTGAATCTTCTATCTCAAGACTGTTTAAAAACAGGACTAAAATTTAAAGCCTGGTTAGCCCGTGGAAGTGTATGCGGTTTCAGAAGCTACCGCAGTAGGGATAGAATATAGAAAGTTTTTGCTTCGAAAACTCACAAATGGGCTCACAAACAAGCAGTGCCAGTGGCAGTAAATCATCTTCATTCTATCACTGGCTTGGCTTTTTATATTTATTGGTTTATGTTTGTTGACGAAAAGTGTCAAGCCGCATCTTTTATGTTGGCCTGCTTTTATCGCACGTACAACTTTTTTTACTTATTTATCTCAATAATTCTGTCGAAAAATATTTGCGACTAATACAAAACAAAATTCGTCGTTTTATAAATCATCACTTCAATATTTTACTTTGACCAGAAAAAGAAATTTTATCATATTTTCGTTATACGATTTACTTCAATATATGTATGAACTACATACTGTATTATATCTAAACAGACAAAACTCAGAATAGAAATGTTATATATGTATATACATACACTGAGAAAAATGTTTAGTCAGAGATTTCATTATTTATTTATTATCAATTAAACATTTAATTTATATTTATCCAATTGAAATATTTGAGGACTTTGAAAAATCTCATCTCCGCCTGGGATCGAACCTCTGTTTTAAAACTGAAGGTTGGGAGCTCTGACCACTGGACTACCTATCCTTGTGAGAGATTTAAACTAATTGTTCTCTTAAGCTATGAGCTGAGAGCGAATCAAATTATTTGGTTGTCGCAACCAAATTTTGGTTAGGACAACAAACGATCATTTGGTTTTTTAGACCAAACTATTTTGTTGTGTTAACCAAATTATTTTGTTGTCGAAACCAAATTTTGGTTGGAATTTAAAAATGTTCAACCAAATAATTTTGTTGGCCTAACCAAATGTTTGATTGAGATAACTCTGCGACTTTGTTTCAGCCAACCAAAATTTGGTTACAAGAACCAAAATTGCCTAATCAAATAATTTTGTTGCAAACACTAAATTTTTTTTCTCCGTGTATATGCTTTGACCCCTCCAAATTTGTTCCAAAATAAAAAATACCATTATTTTTTTATTTAACGGAGAATATTTAGATTTTGTTTAAAACCCATGAAAATTACCATTATTTCTTTATAAAAGACACGCAAATCTTGGTAAATTTTCTATTAAAGCACTCAAAATATTAATGCACCATACTAGTTCTTGGAATTTTCAAAAATTATATAATTAATTTTCAGTCATCATATTTTTACTCCTATTGAGTTTTTTTTTGCAATGAGAAATAAAAAATTTTTTTTGGAGATGCAGTTGTCCTCAAAAACAAAAGAAACGTTCTTCTAGCCTTGAAACGTATAATATTCAAAAAATAAATAAAACCGTTGAGAAAAAAAATGACGCAATTAAAAAAAACTTATTTAATAATAATTAATTATTTAAATATTAATTGAATCATAACAATAATTATTATTTATTATAAATAATTTTTACGGAACATTTTTTTTCTTAACGATTTATTACTTAGAAATTTATGTAGATTATAAAATTTTTTTAAATTTTTTATGGGACATGGAGAACCTTGTGGAAAACTCAATTTTTTATTTATTAACATTTTATAAATAAACTATTTAAAAAATAATTCAAAATAAAAAAAATTTTTTTGCTGTAATATTTTCAGAAACTTATTTTGGTGTCGCATCAGTAAGAGTAATATGATAGAAAATTAATATTACTTTTTGAATATTTTTGTTGATCCGTCTTGCCCTTTTTTAAAAAAAGTGGAATTATTATTATTATTATTATTTTTATTATTTACATTTTTCACTATTTCACAGGCTTATACAGTTTATATGATTTTTATTTAGTATTTTTTTTGTACTTAAACACACTAAAAAAAATTTAGTTGATTCAAATACTTGATTACCTCACTGTATTATCAAATAAATATTTACTTTAACCAAATAATTTTTATTTGAATTAAATAAATTGTATTTGAACTAATTGTTGTATTTAAAACAAATACCATTTAATTAACTCAAATAAATATTTATTTAATAATAAAAATAACCGATTATTTGAATCAAATAAATTTTTTTTCCAGTGCATAAAATTAGAATAAACTGCCAATAATTTCTAAACAATTAAATTTAAAAATTTTCAAAACGTAATGTCAGAGTATTGCCAATTGCTCAAATTTTTCACCGGAATAATATCAAAACATAATCTCAATCATTTTTTTAAAACAAATTATATAAACAAAAGCGGTTGTAAAGTCCACAAAGTGCAGTTTTAAAGTTTTAAAGTTTTTTTTTTTACTTTTTAGTCCACAAACAACAAACAAATCAGGCCCACTCCAAAACATATTACACTAAAGCGTCAATCGAGAACAGCACTACACATTCGTCTGTTCTCGATTGACGTTTTAGTGTATTACAAAAATTTTCTTATTATTTTTATGTGTGTAAAGATCGAGAAAAAAATTTTTTTTAGATCGCACCTAAATTTAAAAAAATTTTAATTTTCGTTAACATATTTTGAAAGTCGATGAAAAACTGAAACTTTTTTGTATCTTGGTCATAATACGTAAATTCAATGCTTTCAGAGTTAGATATGTCCTTGAAATTAGGTGTATTTTAAAAAAACTCGAAAGAATCAGATTTTTAAATATTCATAACTCGAAAATTTGAGCACTTATAAAAAAAATAAAAAATACGTAAACGTTTTTTTTCTATAAAGTTCGAAAAAGATATATTTACACAGAAAATTAAAAGGCATTAAAATAAGCTGCAACGCTTATTATTTTAATCCAATTTTGCTTATTTTAATACCAAAATGGATTAAAATAAGCAAAATTCGATTAAAATAATAAGCGTTGCAGCTTATTTTAATGCCTTTTAATTTTCTGTGTACCGAATTTAAAATCTCATAGGGTAATCTCACGTGGAATCGCCCATATACATATATAGGTATAGTGAATACTGTCAGCAGTTAGCGCTGTACTAACATGCAGTTACATCTTTAACCGGTCGGTAATATAGAAAGCTATAAAAAATTTCATTTCTAATTTTTACAAAAAGAAGTGTGGCATCGAGATTAAACCTAAAGTGATCGAATAACACAAAAATCTTGAAAATATAACTTATAGTTTTCGAGTTCTGGGCGTCGATATGAACGCCAATTTTTCTGACTGATTCCCTATAGACCTCGGAGTAAGACGTTGTCACGTCAAAATGTTTTTCCAAAATCATAAAAGATCCGTTTATCCGAAGTTAATTCTCAATATATACTAACGGACTGCAGATCCTATAGGATCTGATTCATTGAATTAAATTTAATTATGTTTCTGAAATGGGTTCCATACTGTTAGAAATTGGACTACAACTTGACACCAGAATCATATTGAAATTACATTATAGTTTCAATCTTTGTGATGTAAAGTGGTAGTCCAATTTCTAATCAGATTTTGTCGGGTTCTATTGATTATTTCAACGACGCGTTAGTGAAAAATTTTCTCCATGTATTTAGAGGAGGCGATGGGAGAAAACGGAAGCAGCACGGTTAAAAATGAGGAAAATCCTTTTGTATAATAAAATGAGCGTGAAAATGGAAAATTTAATTTAAGAATGAAAAATCGAAATAGAGACTTTCTCTGGGTCAAAACGTGAAGTAAAAATGGAAGGGGTGAATATTGAGGTTATGGTATAGTCGCGCGTTCGGCCTGATCCCAAACCCCCATGGTTTCGTTTGTTGGCCGCGTTCCTTTTCGTTATTGTTCCAAGTTATCTTTACCATCCCGCAGAGCCACAAAATTTACGGTATATCCTCTCAAAAGTCTGAAAACTAACTGATGAAAACACGTCTATCTGAAAACTGAAACATTCGCGTTCGAGTTTGTTCTTCTCGTTTTTGAGGCACGCGCTGTGCCCGCAGTCGCATACATTTTTCACTTTCTACCTGTTTAAGTCAGATTTCAATGCAAATATTTAAAGTTAACCGGCATGTGGCACCTGACACATTTTACTACATTCATTTTCATTTTCAATACAGTTTACTCACAAATGGACAGCAAAGCCTTTAGTTTCCATTTCACATGTCAAATCTCACACCGACAACACTGAGGCAGTGAAATCGAAAAACGTCATAATAGAGCAATTATGCAAATTGCATTATGGATTAAAATTTTCAATCAATTCTGGTCGCCTACTGTTGATCGCTATTTATAAAAATGGGGACAAAAATTTAAAAACAGTCCACCATATCTTTTTCTAACGAATGCATCAGTTTCACAAGAAGAAATTAACCACAAATGAAGGCAACGATCCAAGAAGCAGTTTATCTTGTGTTAATTCCTGCTTAACTGAATCAGAGCAAGCTTCAATCTTTAGAAACGTTTAACATTACAAAATTGCTACCAGATTTTTTTCTCCGCATTGAAAGCATCTGTGTATGTTCATCCTTCCTGCGGTATATTGACCTCTCTATTCTTGTTTATGTGACACTTATTTTCATTTCGAGATCTTCTTCCCTAGAAAAAAGTATATCTGTCGAAAAGACCAAAATTACCATGCGACCTTTGACATCAATAAATTGAAAAAGTATACCGTGTTTTCTGCT